TTTATTTTTTATCCATCTAGTCTAATTGCCAAACATTGCACTTTATAATAAAGTATCTGCATTGCTATTTTTTTCTCCCACTGCCGGAAAGCCAAGAATATCCCTCATACACACTTAGAAATGTGGAACACAACTGTGTCAGCTCAGGTACTGTTGGTGTTCATCTTCCTTTTTTCTGTTTCTCCTTACAACATTTTTATTTGAAACGAGCTAAGAATATAAAATATTCTGAACGTTTTACTACTAGTGATTCTTTGGTAACTTTAATCTCTTAAAAAAAAAAAAGTTCCAAGCATCTTCAAACCCTGTTTCCTGTCTTAGGTCCGTGCTGCTTGTACAGCGCTGTAGAAAAGCTTCACTTGGATTAGCTGAATTTCATGAGTCATGCTGAAAGACAAAGGACAGGTAAAATCTGGTTAGAGCCTACACTGCTACCTCAGCTTAAACATGACTGTTCAGTCCCAAAGCGATTGCTGTGGACTTCAGCCAATCTGTAGTCGGGTGTGCAAAGATCTAGGGTCAGAGTGACTTGCTGCTGTGTAGTGCTGCTGGTCTTTTTCAATTATCAGTTTTATAGAGGTCCTTGCAAGAGGAAAGTCAATTCTGGGGGGAAAAAGCTGAAATAAAAGTACAAAAGAGGAGGAAATTGTGGCCAATATAGGAGCAGAAAGTGAAATGATTATGGCTAAAAGAAAAATTCTGATATTTCTAAAATATATGCTCAAAGGACTGTTAAGTGCTGAATTGTAGAAAGCTGTAGTGTGTTGTTATTCGGTTGGTGGAAGCAAGCCTGTCTGCTACTGTATACCTTGCTTCCCCTTTCATTCATAAATCCAACCTTGGCAGAAAAAAAGGTATTTTAAAAAAGTATTGAGCTGTAAGTACCTCAGAAAGAATGTAAGCATTATTTAATTGTTGCAACAGCAACTGACATACCCCTTTTCAAATGTTTCTGCATGCCAGTGTGTCTAGTGCCATTATAACTTTTATTCCTGTGCTTACAAATGTTTAGTATTTAAGCCTTTTCAACTTGGAGAATAGCAGCATTTCTGTTTTCAGGTGTTACAGCAGTGAGATGACCTATTTATATGATAGGATTTCTATGTTCTGGAATAGAAAATGTTTTTTTACCAACTGTGTTCTAGTACTATAGATTTGTAAAGCACTACTCTCTAAGCCTAAAGTTTTCCTGTTGCTCTGTCCATTCCAAATTTAAGGCTATAGTTACTGTCTGCACTTGATCCAACTCAAATGTTTAGGGGAGAAAAACTACAGCAGTGCCTTGGGTCATTGTTTACCGATACTGGAATAACCTTTGAGTATTCTGCTTTTTATTCCACAGTAGCTCCTTAAGCTGTTTGAACCCTTAATTGAAACTAAACAGAAAAAGTTTCACTTAAATAGTTGGATGGGGTTAGAAGCTATAAAGAATCCCTTTCGTTCATGGATATTTTTTTTAAATGATCAGTAAGCATTTAACCCATGAGTGTACACATCTTGAAGTCTTAAGTAATGAACAATTGCCACAAAGGCATTCCTAGGGGTTTCTGTACTTCTGTAATTGGTGTTAAATTCAGAGCTCTTTAGAAAGCAATGGGAGAGCAATGATTTTAAATCTGTTTGAAGCAGATCCTCTTGCTCTATTTCTTGGGACTAATACCCATAAAAGTGTTTTTAGCTTTTCCTAAACAAAGCCCTGAGTGTAGAAAATTATTAAGTCGTGTGAAATAAATTTACCGCTTTAAGAATTCAGTCGAAACAAAATGCAGGGACAAGTTTGGGGAAACCCTGCCTGAGGTATTCAAATTTAACTGAACACAATGTACTGCTCATTTTGTATTAATCTCAGTAGAACTGCTTTTTGTTCATCAAATTGTGATAAAATCCAAGGGCTTTTTAAAGTGCGCAGAACCAGGCTTTGTTTTGATAGTAGACTCCTTTGAAGTTTGTGAAAATAGTGATTCCCAATCCACATTAATTTTTCACCTGTTCATGGCCTTGAAGCTGTATTTAATTTAGCAATTAAATACAGTAGAGCTCCAGTAATCTGGGACAATATATTTTCTTTGGGTAAGATAAGTTCTTTTGAACCTTTGGTATTTTACTGTTCAATTATGATTTTAAGATTTCTGTTTGAAAATAATTTAAAGCTGGTACCAATTTTTAGTTAATTTTGTAGAAATCTTGAGTAAGAAGCTTTATATTCTTGTTTAAGATGCACACTCGTCAGGTTCATTGCATACAATACCAGTTACCTTTAAATTTAAATTACCTTCCTTTAATTTTATTTTTTTTCTTTGGAGTCAACTTGTTTGGGGGGAAAAAAAATGTGCCAAAGATTTGTAAAAGTAATACAACCTTAAACAGAAGTGTGATAATGAATGAAATATCAGTAGCTGTAGAGACCCCTCTTCATTAATAAACCTTGTGAGGCTTTAATTGCCTTCTTTCATAAAATATGCTTTATTATATTCAAACACTTCATTGTCACTGGAAGAATAGCTTCGGGTATCGGATACTAAGTATTGTCTGTACTTCACTAGACTTATAAGTGGGGTTGTCTATGCTGTTTATATGGTAATTTCCTCTTTGGACACTTATTTAATTTTGCACCCATAGCATGATTTTCTGTGGTCTGTCAGCTGAAGACATTATCACAACCCACCAATTTTATTGACGTGTAATTTATTTTAATTATCTTTTGTGTAATCGGTGGTGTAAGATGGTTACAGTACCTGTGTGACACACAAGAAGCGCAACAGGAATCAAGATGTCAAGATGCATTTATCTACAGTCGAGCTGTGCTTTTTCTGTCGGATGCAAGTAACATATATGCAAATAAGAGTATAACGATGGCCTGTTAACATCCATACCTTAGAAGAGAATAGCCCGTCCAGCTGACCTTAATAACCCCTCCTTTCACTAGTTGTCTGCAGTTTTCTGGTGATGGTTTACTCTAGTTTCACAGTATACAGAAGAGCTGTGCACCGTACTTGAGAAAATTGAGAGTGGGATGGGGAGTTCAGTTCTCTAGCTTTGTGTCATTTTAAGTTTGTTCTTGTATTTCCCTCCTGTGCTGACATGGTGTATTTGGGATTACAGATGCAGACTGGGCAAATTTCCAGTTGCTGAGACTGTTGAAAGCTGGGAGCAGTGTTTGAGTGGGCAGATTTATCTCCGCAAGAATAGTCTCTGGCTCATTTCCACCTTTATTTCTTATTAACCTGTGTATCTAGTGGACTATTAGTGACCATCTAGTAATGGAGACTTTCTTTACAGTCTGACAAACTCTCTAGTCCTGTTTCATGTCTGCTTGTCCTTTACTTCCATCTTTCAGTGAACAGTAAGTTTTTTTTCTGTTTATTATTGGAATTAATCAAATATTGTTCTGATCATACCATAACTTAAAAGTGTTAGTTTCTTGAACACCTTTCACAGCAGTGCATCTCAAAGTGCTTTGCAATTTAGGCTGGAAATCATCCGGACACCCCCCCCCAATAAGTTCTATATCTACAGTGAGATTTCTTTACGATAGAATTCCCTTTTCAAACCGCTTTAGTAGACTGACAGGGAAGCTTGTATAGTCTCAGGTAGATCATCAGGCACATTTCTCTAGAAAGCCCAAATGCCTAGTGTATGTCATGTTGTCACAGGGACACAGCAAGCCACAATTCAAAGAGTTAAGCTGTCAAGATGGAGTATAATTGTTCAGCAGGTCTTTAGACTTGAAAGAGGCCTTTGTATTTTTGGGGCCAGGAGACCGCTATCGAAGTCAATCTTATCTGACGCTGAGAACGAATACAGGGAGGCCTGTACAGGAGTGCTATTCATGTGGATCTTTGATCCGATTAGTTTAACAGAACTACATCTGTTTATAGTATATTTAGAAGTTCCAGCAAGCAGTTAAAATAGGCTCAATATAGAGAAATATTACGAATATAGAATTATAGAGAATGCAGAAAAGGTACGAATCGGTTTCTCTGTGTCTGATTGTGATATGTCCTAAACAATTAATATTACGCACAATAAAGGACACCTTTGTGTTCAAAATTAGTACTGGATTTATTTCACCTTCTGGCTGAGCTAATCTCCAAAGCATTACTGACCATGCTAAAGGCATCCGTGCTGCCTGGTTTGTGTGGGGGACTCAGAAGCTGCCTTTAGCATTTTTCTTTTGATCTGCAAGGTTTGTTGCATCCAGGTTTTAATACCTTATATCAAACCTGTTCTTGTATTTGACATCTACCTACCACCTTCTGTAAGGAAACTTTATTCTTCAGGCACAATATTTGCACTCTTAGAAACTTAATTTACCTGGGATCCTAATTTTGTCTGGGAGGTCATAGTGTTCATGGAAATTTTCATCTTTTCCGGTCTGAAAACTCAATTGTATAGTTTTGAACTATGCAGGATTCTGATGCCTTTTTTTTAATAAGCTTTTGCTTTTGTTTCTTTGCTTAAAATCTAATGTATTATCAAGCTGAAAACCTTTCTAATGAGCAATAGCCAAGCTATCATGAAAGAATCAGTGTTTTGGAGACTTCATGTCTACAGTATAGCCAAATAGAAAGTCATTGAGTGTAATTAAATAAATTCTGAGTGACCTCAGAATTTCTAAGTTGAACAACATGCCCTTGGGACTTTCTCAGTCCTCTGTTTTAAATCATGTTGAGAGCAGATCTTGTTGGCATGAAAATAAAATGGTATTTTTAGTCTTTTGTTTTATGCACAAAGAAACAACAGTATGGTTTTTAAAACTACTAGTTTTAGCGGGAAATAAGTGCTGTGGCCCTTCAGTGTACTCCCTTATGTTAATCATGCTGGTGTGCATGGAATTAAAATTAAGGATGAGCAGTATTTTCATTTTATTTTTGTCACCGATTGTAGTAGCTAAACTAACTGCAGTTCCTTTATTGCTCTATCGCAGCAGTATCGATTACATTACAAAGGCTAATCTGCAAGCCTTCAAGTTACTTTGGAATTGCTGTGTTCTATCCTAGATGGCCGGTGAGAGGTGATTCTAGTCTCAGCTAAATCGGGAGCAAAGACTGCTGCAGGTAAGCCTGTGGCTCATGGATTTCACCTTCTCTACAAGGAGTCTGTCAAAATGGATATCGTACCTTGTGGGCTTAAAATGCAGTGCTTGTGTATAAGAAACACTGGTGTCCAAGACTCCCCACAACGCTTGATAGAAATTCTTCGAAAACATTTTGGTCAATGTGCATTGATATTTAGTGATATTACACTTAAATATGTAATTGGTCCTGTAGCATTAAATACATCTATTAAATACATACAAATAAATGAAATATTTGTCTGTATAGTTATTATAAACAGCAATTGGAATTGAACTGTCTCAGCTGTTCTGTTGCCTTTGTCTTTTACCTCTTTTATCTAAAGTTTTCACTATTTTTTTTTTAATTTGCTTTGGATCGCTTAGAATGTCTCTACACAGAATTTTGAAAATAATGTGAAATTGCTGTCATCAATGTGGTCCAGACAACAAAAGACTTGCCTAGACCGAGCATGTCTCACCAGATTAATTTGAATTATTTCAGCTAATATTAGTTTTTAACTGCACTGTACATTTATTTGAAAATCTCTTCATTCAGTGTTCAATCAAATGTTTAAACTCAATAATCCAGGTATGCATAGGCTAAATATCCTACTGAATGTTACTGCTCTTCAGTCTTCTCAGTATTGTTTTTTTCCCCATTGTAATCATCAGTTATTACTCAGTGTTAAATGCATGGTAAAATGATTCAGAGGTCAGTGAGTGCTCTTGGACAGTAATGTTGACCTCAAGAAAATTCTAAAAACCTCCCCCATTTATGGATAAGAGGTAAAAAGTTTTGAAGAATGAAGAATAAAAAAAGTGGGTTGCAATGAAGGCTGGTTTAAAAAGTGCTAGTTTTTTAAATGTTAATACAACAGATATTGTAGAGTCACTAATTTTGTTTGATTCATATCATACTAAACAGAAAAGCTTTTGTCAGGTTCACTCACAAAACATTTACTTTTACAGTTCAATTGTTTTTGTTTCAGTTTAATTAAGCTTAATTATTGTTTTACCCTTAAGATCAAGGCTAAACAATATTTAGTATTTTGGCATACGTCAGGTTGACGCAATTCTAGGTTTATTGTACTATTCAGTCCTTTATCATTGCACAGCAGCAATTGAACAAAATGGCAGTCATCAACCCCAAGAGGAAGAGTCCGAGTCAGCTTCAAAATTGGAAACTGAAAAATTGCACACAGATGAATTTCTGAAAGCATCGGTCACAGGCTTATAATAAGATTGAGCTGTGAGAAGTAGTTACATTTATTTACACCTCTATCTATGAGACAGTATTCATTTTATTTCAAATAAAGGTTTTAAAATAAATTTTTAGGTTCGGTGACAAATTGCTTTCCGAATAAAATATCTGTGTTTTAAATAATACGAATAAACTCAGATTCACTGAGATTTAAGCTACCTTAAAATTATTTTAACAAAGTAGTGCTGCAAATATCGCATTAAATGTTATTGCACTATAGCAGAATAAATTTACATTCTAATATATGAAAATCCTAACCTTTGCTCAGCTTGGCATTTGTAATAGAGGTGGGACATGATTGTGATTTTTTTATTATTATACTGGCCCCCTAACCCCAAATGTCTTATAGCATGCTTACAGAAGTGTGACAAGCCAAATTGCCATTTTTTTTTCTCTAAGCGGTTGTTACGTCCCCAATATGGCTCAGTCTAGGGGCGAATGGGGACTAACACAAGAGCAAAGGTTTAACGGTCAGAAATATAAAAAAACACTAATTACACTATTCTAAAACTCAATACTCTCTAAACCTGTCTCCCGAGGAAGGGGTGGCAAACCCAAAGCAAGGTCTTCCGCAAGCGATCCGTCTCCTGTATCTAAACTAAGCTTTAACGGAAAACTAAAAAAGAAACACGCATGCCACAACAATCCCAACCCCACACCACAGTCAAGAAAACAAATCTGGTACATCTTACATTTTCGCCGTTTCTTTTTTTAACGCCTCCCTTCCACACAACTCTCCGGACGCCCCGTACCGGCATTTAAAACCAGACCGCTCTCTTCAACCAATCCAGAGAGAGACCCAATTTAGGGACACACCCACCTCCAAGAATGGACCCCAGCACGGGTGGAGAGGCACAAAAGACCAAAAAAACAGAACGTAAAAACAGTCAATGGAAATTCTGTGGCTGAAGTACTCAACTGGTTGATGAACTCAAGAGCCAGGTAAATAATAAGGGGTGTCTTGGATCCTGTGGTGTTTTTTAGTGAAAAGTTACTTAAACATAATTTAAAAGATTAATTGGTGAAGTATACAGCTATTTGTAATCCTCTGCAGTCCTTTATGCAATGACATCACAAAAACAAGTGGTCACCATATTATCTGCATCCTATTGGCCTCTATTAACCTGTAGTTAGCCGGGAAAGGTACATCCCTATTGTAAATGGCTGTTTTTAACTTTCCCCATTTACATTTTCTAGGTAATGGATGTAAAGAGTGTACCATATCCTGTGCTCATAATGGACACCTTCTAGAATTTCACCTTGCATTTTGTCACAATACAGATAATTAAGTAATCTGTTATGACTCCTTTCCCTTACTGAGAAGTAACAAGATTGGGGCCTTGTAACTTCAAGCATTGACTGTACCAGTTTACATGTTTTGATTCTTTCAAGTGTCTGTAGCCTCTGAAATGACTGACATGTTTGAATCATGATGCACTTTACATTTTAAAATCTTAAAATAGCACTTTTCCAAAACCCACATCCTGGAGGAACAACGTCTTTTCTGGCTTTTGCTCTTAATAGCAGGCTAGTTGATTTCTGTTTTCTATTTGGGTCATATTTGCAAAGTTGCGTTTAGCTCTCGGGGTCAAATGGGGTTTGTAATTGGTATCAACCCTGTACAGATTTCTGCATTTCAGAAGTGCCCTCATTTCAGGGCCTGAAATGTAACCTATTGGACACCTACAGCACAAAACATTTATTTTGGGAATGTTTGATACTGTAATTCTGTTACTCTCACCCATGTTTATCATCAGTTGATTGTAGTCTAGTAGTAAGAGCTGTTTCATGCAAAATAATGGCAAGCAAGGTGAGAGGCTGTGTAAAGTTAAGTTGTTGCAGAAAGTTCCTTCCCCCTTTCTGACACTTGATACTGGTTGACGAAACGACTGATCTGACTTAATTGCTTGTTTTGACTTTTTTTAAGTCCTCAATTCACCAGAGATTGGGAGCTCAGGTGGAATTAAAACTAGCAGCCAGTTTTCCCACCATGACCCAGGCTAGGCAACCCTGATAGTGCTTCCAGGTGACTTGATTGACATTTCATTTTTCCATGCAGTCTTAATAGTAAAAGACTTAATAGTAAATGGTCAAAATCTTAAAACCCCTATATTTAATATATTTAGAATCAACACATTTTGTTTTCTGCTTTGTTTACGCACCAAGCTTTAGATCTGCTTGACTTTCAGATTTAGATCTGTTCTTGATAGGCACCTTAGGCTAAAATGAATAGAACACAGGATATGATTTAATCACATTGAACAAATCTACAGTTTAACAGCTCGTGCAAGCTTCTAAAATCGTGTCATAATCATCTAAAAGGACAGCTCATAAAACTGTGTACACTATACTGTCCTTTGTGGTCTTTTTGTAAGAGATGAGTGTCCAGATATTACTGCAATTCAAACTGAGACTCAGACACTTCAGTTGAGAATAAACTATGAATATTTCCTGCCATTTCAGTGCCTTCACCCCTGGTTAGCAGGTATTGCAAACTACTGGGCTTTTCCCTTGTTTGGTTTTCATTTTGTCTCTCCCGATAGAATGTATCATTTGGAGGTATAGATAGTACTTGAGACAAGTGCATCATATTGGTTTTGGAGTGGGATTTCACCCCTCAAAAAATGGGTGTCAATTTGTCTTTTAAACAAAAGAAGTGGTCACCTCTTCTTAAAAGGCAATCCGCTAATGGTGAAAACAGTCCGTAATACACCAGTGTTCAAAAAATGAATAAATAGTATATTTTGTTGTGAATTAAATATCAGATGTTTTTGTTAAACGTAAACATAAGTTTAAGAAAAACACTTACATTTTTTCTGTTCCTAATGGAGATGTCATAATCCATTTTTCCTTTGAGTAGAAGCCATTTGATATTCTGCTGTACAGTGACTTTGTATAAGTAAGAGTAACCTTAACCGTGAAACCTCTGATCACCCAAAAAGTCTGCGGGCATAAAGAACAGGTTTAAATTATAATCATTTTTCTTTACCCATTTTCTTCAGTTCTTGAGTTCTTCTGTGCTCTTTTACTCTGATCTTCTCTTAACTTTACAGTTTGCATTTGAAATTTAAAAATTACTACCTTGGTTTTAATTTAAAGTTGATAGCAGTACCTGGATATAAATGAGATTAGCATTGAATAAATAATTCAAAAATATTCCAATTTCTTTAGAAATATAAAGAAGCATATATACACAAAGTAAATGTGTTAGAGATCACTTTATTAGCCATATACAATTTCTAGTATTAGAAACTTGTCTTTTCACATACCCCACCTTGCACTCCATGAGACACAGACAGGGAGAGAAGCTTGGGGACAGAGTGCAGGGTCACCCCTGGAGCAGTTGGGGTTAAGGGCCTTGCTCAGGGGCCCAACGGAGTAGGATCCCTCTGCCGGCCGTGGGATACCTACTGGCAACCTTCCAGCCACAGGCACAGATCCTTAGCCACAGAGCCACCACACCGCCCCAGTGTGTATATGCTCTGAAGCCTTCTGCAGATTGCAGTGAAAACTGAAACCCAAGATTGATTAAACTTAGACTGATGACCGTTCTTTTTGGATCTGCTGCTTTATAACTGATTTGCCACTGTTCTGTACTTTTACTGTCTTATTTGGTTTTTAGTGTTTAGCAACATGTTTCACAATGACGGTGACATCACAAAATAATTAAATTGCGTTGCATCAGCAAGTGACAGGATATGACATTACAGGGAAAAAAGTAAACCTTTTACTTGTTGTTTTGCAGGCTTGTGTGTTATAAATGCACACAAGTCAATTAGAAATTGTGCTGTTCCACAATCCACGGAACCATTTCTGGTGGAACACTTCGATAGCAGATATGGTAAATGATCGTGGTGCTGTGGACTTTCCAGCTTGATGCTCACTCCCTCAAATAATGCAAACCACAGCAGAAACTATACTAAGTGTTTTATAATGTGCCTCTCTATAGTGATTAACATAATGTAATTAGTCATACAAGCGCATCTGTAAATTTATTCAAAGTTGCAAAACCGGAAATGTCTTTTTCTTCTAAATGACATGGTATCGTAAACTTAAACAAATGACAGGTAATATTTTTCCCAGTGAATGATCATGAGACCTGATCCTTACATTCTATTGAAAATTGTTTTTTGTGACAAACTGCACCTCGTTCAAAATGCATCTTGAGTGCAGTTTAAAATGTGACCTCTTCCTTGACATCGTGTTGGGCAGACGAACCCTTCTTTGTTTTCAAAGTGACGCAGCCATGCTGTCCATAAACACTGTGTTGTCTTTGGTGGAACTCTTGTAGTGATTTGCAATTTGCCCTTGACTTACAGTCTGCTCTCAGGTGTGGAGACCCTTGAACCCTTGAAAGAGCGTGACACTATGAGGATCCAGAAGGATCCAATCCAGAAGGAAGTGCTCTTTTCTTTGGAGGTAGGATTTTTTAACAGCTGGGCCAAGATTTAGTGCAGCAGACATCTCAGACAGTAGAAAGACATGAAGCTGTTCTCCAGTTTAGTTTTATGACCTGGAAGAACTGTGACCGACATGATCTTGAGAGTAGATATCGAGTATCTTAGGTGCCTGTGCAGAGTGACATGAATGATGCACTTTCCAAATGACTGCCAAGTAGCATGTTATCTGCAATGACATGAGCAACGAGATTTGTATTCTGAATCTAAGAAGGATGGGTGACATTGTATTTCTAGTGTCTAACAACACCTAATGGTGTTGAGGATTCTTGGTTTTGGGGGTTTGGACATAGTATGGCTGAGAGCAGTGTGTCTTAACTGCTAATTAAAGCTAGTGATGCCATGAATAGAGTTGGAAATGCAGTGTAATTGATGTTCAGTGTATGTGTGGAGACCTTTATTCTGATTAAAACCTGCCCCTTTAAAATAATTCAGATACTCAACTTGCCTATGCATGCACGTTAGAAAGAATGGAGGCATGAGAAGAGACCACCGGACTCTTGACTCTGTTTGGTTGTTGGTAACTAATTACTCCTGCTGTTTTCTATCCTCTTCAGCAACTGCTGGGTTCCATACTTACACAACTGTTGGTGTATCTAAAATGCCTTTTAGTTTGTAGGACTCTTGTATCCCCTGGTTTGTATTTCCACAAACCCAAAATACCCGTTCCTGATAGAAATTAATTGTACTGTGCCCGGGCAAGAGCTTCCCGGACTGGGAAGAAGCAAAAGCTTCCTCAGCACTGCACTGGATTTGAGCTGAAGAGTAAGTCTCTTCAGGCTCAGGAAAAAAATTGAAATTTGGAAAACGTAAGGATCTTAGGGAGTGTTTGAATGACAGATCCCTACATTCTCCTATACTGTTATCATAGTTGTTTTCTTGGTTTTCATTTTCTAGCTTGAATAAAAGTGGCTCTTGAAATAAGATCTAAAATGTACACATTTTAGAGTGTGAAGTCTTCGTTTGTGTGCTGCTCCCCAGTGTTGTATCCACAGTGCCATCTGGATGCACTTCGGTTCATTGATATCTTCTCTGTTTACACTGAAGCTTTACTATAAAAGTTCTTTGGTTCTAAATCTGTTTATAATTTGTTTTTAAGACTGGAGAAATTGACTCAATCTTTTATGGGAGCTTAATTTCATATTAAGATGGGCAGTAGACTGTGCCTTCTTTCCCTTATGAATTGGAGCAAGGATCCATTGTTGAGTTGTCTAACTGTATTTATTATTCCATTAGCATTTAATTTCTTTCTTCATTGCAATATTGCGCAGAGTGTAATGAACCAAGCAAGCTGCCTGTACTAGGTTATTCAGTTGCCTTGAGTACAATAGGCAGCCTTCTATAAATCGTCTTCATGATGGGACCCAAGTGTCTTGTAAGTTGGGCGTTACGTTGGAGAACCCGAGATCGCAATTGCTTCTTGATCTTGCTTTTTAGATTTCTCTGTGAATGATGTAGAAAATGTGGTCACGAGGGGGCCGATGTTTGTGGCGTTATCCATGTACGGCGTCTCTGCTATTCCAGAGAGCCGTGCGCTGAATCCTAATGGTACTGTGCCTGGGCCAGGGCTTCCCGGAGCACTGCACTGATCAGTGATCACTGATCAAGCTCTTCACTGTCAGTGCTCAGAATTTCCGCCAGCCTCTGTACTTCCTGTAGACAGGAGGCAAGTGATTAGTTTGTGACCAGGCCTGACTAGGAAATGTACAGTAGCAGAGGTAACAAGGGATTGCTAAGGTACAGTGCTTCACGTTGCAGTGTTTGCTGATCATTTTGTAATGTGATGAATTTGTCTAGTAACAGGTTTAACTCGGTTGATTTGAATGTATTTCTCTTTTAATAAATAAATTGATTTTTTTTTCTCATAATGTAAGTGCCTTGGAAGCAATTAGAAAGGAGGTTAATTTCCGTTTAAAAGATAACTTATGGGATAGTAAACAGGTGCTATCTTTTGGGCAACCAGATACGGTTTTGTAAACTGACAGGATAATAAACTGTAAATTAAGTAAAGTATCTTTTCTTACAAAAAGCAATACACATTAGTTACATGCTTTCATTTCTTTTGTATTTTGTATTGCCCCGATTATAACATCCTGTGGACTACGATAAGAGACTTAAGCAAGAGTTACAAAAGATTTAGTGTCTTTAGTATGACTTTAAAGAGTTGAAAGCCATGTCATGTTCAGTGGACATAGAAATGAACAGATTCTGCTTTTGAAAGTCTTAAGTGACAAAAACTCACGAGAAATCTTTTTCTTTATCTTGTTGTATATAGAGTTAAGTTAAAAAAATCTTCCTTAATTTTCACACTGAGTATTGTCTGATGATGAATTCACTGCTTTCCACAGGCAATATACTGTTGTATTTTAAATATAAACATTTGGAAATTTTCTGATAAGCTGTTATCAGATGGTATATACTTTTACCATCAGATTTACTAAAGTCTGAAACGTTTTAAAAAATACTTCCAGATTTGCAATTTATGTATGAAAGTTATTTTTGTGTGACAGGTCAAAGGACGAAAAGGCAAGTATTTTACAGTATGCTGCGGCTGTAATATCCTTTGGTTGTTAGAAAGGGATGCTGCATTTTACACCCTTATTTATTTTTGTACTTTAGTTTTTAGTGGTCCATGCCTCCACCATTAGTCTGGAGTGATACATGCACAGCTGTGGGTGGAATATCAGTATCTTGAAAGATGTTTAAACATTTGTGGAAGACATTTTAAGAACAGTCTCTTTGTCAATATTGATTCAATGGAAAGCAGAAATGAATACATACAGTAGCATCAAATATCATTTATTGCTTGTAAAAGGTTGTCCCCCTACAGCCTGAAAAAACATTGCTTAAGTCTGTTGTTACAGTAACAGTGCTCATACCTGGTTTGCACAGTACAGTAATAAAACTGCCTCTTCACTTGCCACTTCAGACAGGACAACCAATTTTAAGAGCAATCAGAATCTATAAAATTATAATCGCCCTATAAAATGTCTGCTTTTTAAGAAAACACAATTTGACAGTAGAAAAGAGATCCTGACACAGCATTGCCCGCAACAGGGAAGTTATTCATCTGGCAGTATCTTGGCTCTAGCACAGACAGTGGCATCATTGTGCAACCTGCTGTATAAACCACTCACATAAACCACTAAATGCAAATTAAAGTAAAAATCCGAAAGACTGTCCTTGTTTTCAGGTGGAAATTCTTTCAGCTTGTCCTTTTCCGATATTATAAAAGGAAGCTTAGGTTTTCATTGAGATTATCACAGTAAGTAAAAAGGATTTTACAAGCAGTAGACTTGCAAGAAACAGCGATATGCAGTGTTCACATGTTTAACCTGAATGAGTTAATCAGAGCAACTAGCACACTTTCCTGTCTTCTCAATGCTTTAATTCACATTGACATTCAAGTTTCTCGTTACCTGGAGTCCTGAAATTTCTTAAGAACTTCTTTTTTGTGTCATTTCTGATTGTGAATTAGAAAATAGTGCAAAATACAAAAGCTTTCCAAATAACATCCTGACGTTTGTTTAAGGAAGTGTTTTTTCCCCACAGTGCTAAAAAATACTGAGAACCCATGGGGAAAAGTTTGTATTAACCATATGTTATTTGATGTTGGGGTTTGCTTCCTGATTGAGAGTTGTGCATAATTAGGTTTTTACATTGAAAAAGACTGACTTTGGAAAGAAACGCAATGTTAATAGAGTTACTGTTCACCTCGTGCGACACGTTCTCCTAAACCAGTAATGCTGCATAGGAAGACCTACTCGCATTAACCACCCAAACTGCAGGGAGTCTCTGAGCCACAATGAGCCTGAAGACACCCTTGTGTATTAAAATCAGTGTCCCTCCTTAATTAGGTCAATAACCTCCTAGCCTATCTACTGTAGATGTGCCTTTTTTTCCTAAAACTTAACAGGGTTCCTTCAGGCTGAGCACACAGTAGACATTACCAACTCGATGAGCAAGCGCCAAGCTTCATCACTTCAGTGCCAACCAGAGACTCGATTAGTCCTAGATACTTTTTCCAGTCTTTACTATTAATTATTATTCATTAGAGAAACCTAATGAAATTAGATTCCTCTCTTACGCTCATAAGCGAAGGTCAATATTTTTTCTTCAGAATGTACCTAAACTGCCCTCTGGTGGCTTAAACCAACGCAGACAGATTCACTACTACACTACATTCATACAAGTTTTATTTCATGTTTAGTATCCAGCTTGTGAACTATTGTGGAGAATGTCCTGGCATTATCCTGTCTGTTCGCATCACTAAGTAAACTTAGTTTTCAGGTAACATGAAATCTGGGTTCTAAGCTGAACTGAAACATTCAGTTTGGATTGTTTTCCCCTCTATTATGATTAAGCTATAACTGTTCAGTAGTTTACACATTTTGCTCACAATCTTTTTTTTTTTGCTTTGCTTTGTTTTAACTGTTTATATAGTGCTGAGAGTTTGAGAACCCCTTAGGATTTCAACATTTATTCTTAAATTCTTATTGGACAAAGTTCAGTACCTTGCGGCACCCCCTTGAGTTGGCAAGGACTGCAAATAAATGTTTCCTGTCACTGTTGATCAATCTCTTGCATCAGTGCTGAGGAAGTTTGGTTTATTTTAAATCTTTCAGCTTTGTGACACTTAAGGGCTACATTCCATGAACGGCTCACTTCAGGTCCTGCCACAACCTTTTGACTGAGTTTAGATCCCGACTTTCTGGCTAGGCCCTTAGAAAATTAAAACGGTACACTAAAAAAAACACTTCTGCTTATGTTCTGTACGTTATATATTTGTGAAATGGGTTATATATGTGTTTACAGAACAACGTAAACATGCTTCATGGATTTTTCATCTGTCTGAATGCTGACTTATGACTTTAATCATTGGAGCAACATTTTTGCAACGCAATGGGCAGTGGTATGATTAATATTGCAGTGGATAACAAATTGACATTGTTATATAAGGTATAACCAAGTATTCGTCAGAATTGGAAAGTTCATAGTCTGTCAATTAGTACTGAAATCCTTGATTTTCTTTTTTTGGCCCTTAAGAGATTGTAGCGCTTCAGTTCTTAATTAGATGAGTTTACTGAACTGCAACATAAGACTGGAGTCGGCAAAAAAACAAAAATAACACCCAGACCTCTTCATTTATGTAAAAATTGTGAATTTAAAGTGAAGAAAACAAGACATGAATCTTGTGAGATAGCCTCATTATTTCTCTTTTGACAATCATTATACGCACGTATTGTAAAAAATACTACAACTGACATTCACGCTGTATTTAATTTTTCATTACAGGATTCATATATGCCTTTGCCTTCTGTTTTCCTAGTTTCTGGGCAGGGGAAATAGCTAGGAGTGGTGCTCATTTGAAGAGGTCCTGTGGATATTGCTAAAGTCATACTAAGTTCCCTAAAACCTAGGAGACTGGTGTGATCTGATTAATAAAATTGTTTTGCTCCATCTGACAGTTCATATTAGAAATTAAAACTGCATATTTCACCTTTAATATGAAGGATACTTTACATACAGTACCACAGTGCATTTTTCTAGACTTCACACCATTACTTTTTAGCTTTATAGCATGCAATATAGCTGTAAACCTGTGTTAAGAATCTGAAAATTGTCTTCAGTTTAATTTTGTTGTATTACAGTAGGCTGCTCTTGACTACTGATTTGTTCAAATGTGCGGAGAGTCAAACAAATGTATGCAAAACAAGGAGTGGAGAATACAGTACTGTGATAAACTCGGAAAACGGTACTAATTTGCATATCTTTCTGATGGTTCCTCATATTCATTTTGGTACTGGATTTGAAATCTGGAGTGAACCCTTTTCTCTTTAGTTCCTCCATTAAAACAGTAGTATAGCATTTTGACATATTGGAAATGCACTGTAGGTTGTATTATATTTGAATGAATGGTCTCCACTTCACTGCTATCCTTGAGAAGTACTGCCCCGAAATTTGTCTTCTGTAGAGTGTAATGTACCAAATAATCTTTGGAGTCCAGATATTGCTTTTGAAGTGGTGATGCGGTCACATTTGGTTCTGTTAGGAATGTTTTTCACGTCATAATCTGACTTAACCTGTAGCAGAAAGTGTAGTTCTTGAGTTATGCACAGAGTCATGACAATTTGAGATCTGACACCGTTGTAATCAGATGCAAGTAATTGTTCATTAATAGAAAGAATGTAAAAATCCTCAGTGATCAATAAACAAGTCTCTGAAGTCTGCAACCTAAATTGAGTAGGTTATTGATTTGTTGAAGGTTATGACCCGTTAAATAAACTCCATTATAATTGAAGTGACTTACCTGATACGATTTCAAAGACATGAGGGAAATAGAAACGATCTCGGAGATAAATTAAAGCCTGAGATTAACATAGTAGTACAGAATTTTCCAAATTGACCAATTTAGAATGCAAGAAGAAGCTCAGTGTCAGAAATGCTTATTGCAGTTGTTAGGTGAAAAGGCAGGAAAGCAGTTGACAATTTCAGTATATAGGTAAAAAATGTCTCTTCAGTTGTGAGTTTTCGTACTGCAAACAATTTTTATCTTCTGTGATTTGTGGCAAACATTTTTTTGGGAATAGTATGAACCTTGTTTTTAAATTTCTAGTCAATGTAAAAAAAAAAAAACTGGTGAAGGACTTGACAAACCTTTCCTCTCTGAACTTGCTTCCTCGCTCATCCCTTGCTAGGCTGCAGTAACAGAGTCACATTTCGATCATCTTTTCAATGAGACATAGGTGTAGCTGAGCTCCTTTGTGTATATAGCCTTTCTATGTGTTAACTTTTCCTTGTTTAAAATAATACGCACACTTTTAAGTCGAGACTTCTTCCTTTGCTTACTCCTAAATAACAGGTTGTATTTATCCAGCGCGCTTCAATAAGAAGTGCTTTGTCCCCGGGAAGCAAGCCATTTCAATTTCCACTGCAGTGCAGCACCCATCTGGGTGATGTGCAGCAGCCAGCAGCCCCTCTACACTGCAGGTTGGGTGGCTTGAGAAATACTTCACAAGTTGAGTTTGATCAGACATTTAGGGAGACCCAGGCTGTGCAAGTCTGAAGTGGAATCTAGCCAGGCCAGTGTGCTTAACAAGTGGCAACATGAGGTTTTAAATCAAGCACTGTGCTGCAGTGCCGTTCCAGGGTGTTTCCTGCCTTGTGCCCATTGCTTGCTGGGGTAGGATCCCCCCCCCATTCATAATTAAAAGTATGAATGTTTTTTTTTCTCATTTCCTGTACCTTGATCCTAAATCAAGCACAGCAGTATTAACTGTGCAGACTTGTTTGCCAAGTGATGGGTGTATTCGGTATCTAATGTAAATGAATATTACTTTTAAGCTTCAATACTGTTGCAGGTTTTTTTCAAACATGCATGATATTTGAGGAAAGTTCTGTCATTTTTTGTACATGTTCCCTATGAGGATTATTCATTTGAATTTTAAGGTGCTCTTTATAAGAAAATACAAAGTGATTTTTTTTTTAGCAGGTGTCCATCTCATTCTTTCAAGTTTGTGAAATCCTCTGTGAAATGTTAAAGCTCCGAGCTTGCTGCTGAATTAGAAGGCTTGCTCGTATCCGCACTGTAAAATCCAGCTAGAAGTGAGGGGTCTTTCCTGGTCTGTTGCACTTCTAACATGTTCTATATTCCACGCACTAGATTTGCCTCTGACAGTTTTCTCTCCCACATACATGCTCAGAGAGATGATGGACAACCATGCACAGCATTAGCTCCCCAGCAGCAACATAAAAATGCCTCACAAATATATTAAATTTCTTCTGTTATGATTAGCGTTGTAAAACAATGTAATTTCAAACATTTAGACTGAGTATTTCTTTAGAGATACAATTGCGGTCTCCTATAATTTTAACCTGTTCAGGTCAAGGGTATGCCTGCTATCATGTCTTAATGATATATAATGGTTTCTAAATTAATCCAAATCAAGGTCATGTACTTAATGGGCGGAGCGGTGGCTCTGTGGCTAAGGATCTGCGCCTGTGACCGGAAGGTTGCCGGTTCAAATCCTGCGGCCGGCAGAGGAATCCTACTCCATGGGCCCCTGAGCAAGGCCCTTAACCCCAACTGCTCCAGGGGCGCCGTACAATGGCAGACCCAATGGCAGACCCTGAGCTCTGACCCCAAGCTTCTCTCCCTGTCTCTGTCTGTGTCTCCCTGGAGAAAAGCTGGGGTATGCGAAAAGACGCATTCCTAATGCAAGAAATTGTATAGGGCTAATAAAGAAACATTATTATTATTATTATTATTATTATTATTATTTATGCATTTGGATAACACAAAGGGCTTTTTCATATACAAAGGAACATGAACAGATCCAGAAGACCAAGATGCACAGCGAGGTATAAAATGAGTCACTGAATTAGAAACTAGAATACATTTGAAATGAAATGGAAACAGTCTCGTTTTCTGGCCATTACTAGAAATCTTCAGGGAATGGCCAAAGGCTTTTTTATGGCCTGGTTGTACACCTTCATTCTGGATTTCAGGCTACTCATTTAAAATAACTTATAAGGTCTGGATGAGATGTTTCACATGAAATAACAGCATGTAGACTGACTGAGTACTCAAATTTGTATTTTTGGTAGTGAGCTGAGCACCTTGTTTTATAATATTTTTTTAACGTGTATGCACTTGATGCACAATCGCAGCAATAGTTTTTTTTAACTCGGTTTCTCCTTTAACATTATTAGTTTTCTTCTGAGTCTGTTTAAGTACTTGGTATGTTTGAAATTACCAAATAGTTGTTTTTATTGAACTGAAATGTAGTCATTAAAAAGCTCCACTACAATGACAAGGGTTCTCTTGGAGTCGGTGCCTCTAGTATGCCTTTGTTCTTGTGGTCTTGCTGGCTTCTGAATGGAGATCTGTGTAGTGTCGTTTTCTTAACATAACTTTGCAGTTCAACCATAAAGCCAGCTCTAGTCTGTTCTTAATTGGATTAATATTTCTAGTTGGGGTCCGCTTTTCATTGTAAGAGCTACCCAATGTAAAATGCAATACCATTTTTTTTTTTATGCTCATAAGATGTCCTGATTTTTTGCGCACATTGATGAAAGCTTAGTTTTCAGAAAAGTATAAAATCCAATGAAATATGAGATTATACTGCAGTAAAACCATAAAAGTACATAGTTCATTGCAAAGCATTTGAGTGGTGTCTGTAATAACACCACAATAACTGTGGTTTCTCTACACATATAATCTAATTTGAACTTGATTAATTGGCTACTTTTTAAATAGGCCATCTCCAGTGTGTTGATTATCGCTCATGAAGGATGAAATGTCATGCTGCATTGTAAGTTAATGACGTGGCTTAAAATAAGAACATTACACATTTAATGTGACTGTCATGCCTGAACAAACATTTACAAGATGATGATCAAGACAGCGAGGCAGAAAATATTCACGTGTGTATAAGAATTAGGCAGGAGGAAGGTGAAGAAGGAGACTAATAATTTCTTGCATTTGTGAATATTTGTTATCCCAAAGGATTCCAAAGCTATCCGAGTGCTGTGCACCGAGTTTCTCAAATCTCTCTCTCTCTTTCTAGGTGCTTCGGCCTTTAGACTGATCCCAGAATGCCGTTGGTGAAGAGGAACATTGAGCCCAGGCACCTGTGTCACACAGTGTTGCCTAAAGGCATTAAGAATGAGCTGGAATGCGTGACCAACGTCTCCTTGTCAAATATTATACGGCAGCTCAGCAGCCTGAGTAAGTGTGAATGTTTATTATTTTCCCATTGATCCAACTCCTGGCCTGTTCACTTGCTAGGATTTTGACAGGGCAATACCATTTTCAATTATGTTACTGTCCTTCAACATGCAGCTTAAAAAAAAAACAACAGACGTGGTAATAAGTACACTCCTGATTATACATGTGGCCATGTGCAAATCAAAGTCATTTATGAATTCTGCCACAGCTCTAACAGGTCACTTTACTCTAAAGGTTGAACAAGAGGTGTTTATATTGCAGCAGATTATTTCCCCTTTTCATGTCACAGTATGCTTCACACAGAAAACCTGACCATGGTTTTCATGCTGTTGGTCATTACTGCTTGGTTTTTATATTTAGGCAGTCTAATTAGGCTTGACAAATTTCTTTTTGTTTTAATATTTGATTTGGGCTTTCCAGGACATAATATACTCCTGAAATTATGAATTTGGGAAAGTTGAAAGGTACAAAACCAGATACACATCTAGTTAAGTGCAGTCTTACCTGGTACCTTGTAATTTACATAAGACAATTTCCTGTGGTCGGTAGCGTTATGTTTTTCTAATTCCCAGGACCTAATGCACAAAAGAACTGTAATCAAACCTTTTTCATAATGTTTGTCATATTCATTAAACCCTGCTAAGTGATATAGTACTCCATGTGTGTACTTGGAGATACATGAGATTGCTTAAAATATTCTCATGGTCTGGATCTGGGGCGTAAGATTTCAGGTATGGACAAGGTTTATAATGCAACCCCCCCCCAAGGCAAAGCCAAATATTAAAAGTTGTGTACATTTCTACAGTGGAATCTCAAGCTGCTTCGAAACACATTCAAGAGTTTTGTTCAAGGAAAATGCTGATAAGGTGTTTAAGGTTCGTGGTTGTTTATAGGAATGCTAGGGTTCGGAGCAAGGACTTTTTGTTTTCTTTGAACTGTTTTGGAAGGTTGTTTCATGATTAGTTGCTTAGTCTAAATATAACCTAACACTTGCATAATAAGCTATAACCAAATAACATCATGCTGCAAAATGCTGAAATCCCAATATTGTTATATTATGTACTTAACATATACAATGGAAAGGACTGTTCTAAATGCAGACACCTAAGGCCTAAAATAACATGGTAAACCCAAAGAATTGGTAGTATGTAAAATTAAGAATTACTATGCAGATGGTCAAAGCTTCCACAGGTGGGGCTACTTTAAATGTAAATGACCCTGCATCCATTTTTCTTTTCCATCTCAATATTATCAAAGCCTAGTGGTTTTTTGTTGTTGTTGTTCTGGGTGAACACTTTCATAATTGGTGTAATTATTTGCGGAATTGTAATATTTCTCACCAGGCTCCAAGTTCTTATTCAGCTAACTGTACCTGTAATGAAGTGAATGTTTTGAGTAATCAACTGTAAAAGGCCTCAAGATGTAACTAAGAGATTAATTAGGTTAATTGCGTGTTGGAACAAAAACCATAAGACACTGGGCCATCTAGGAATTGAGTTTAAAAATCCCTGCAGTATAAAGAGTGAAGTATCAGCCATTTGGGGAGAAGGCTGTGTTTCTCAGTCTTATTTGGTCTCATTAGAGCACAGCTTTCCTACAAGAGGACATCTATGCTTGATCTAATTACTACCCTGTTTATACTTCTCTTGCAGCAGCATCTTTAATTAGCCTATTAGCCTCTTTAATCATGCTGTTTGAGAAAACTAAAAACTTCAAGACGGGAAAAATCAAATGGCTAGTCCCGATTTCTACACCACAAAGACTTCTTGTGGTTCTTTTAGAACTGATGTTCATTGATTTATCCAGTGGCTCATGATGCTCTAGTACTACATCTTTCAATAAAAAAGTATGTCTGGCTCATTGGGAAGGATCCATATAGTTGGTGGTCACAACCTTGTCGGGAGCTTTGTAACCTTGGATCAGTTAGCCGTGAAATTGCCTCACTCAGACAATTGGTTCATTTGAATTCTGTGTCTTTTTCTGTTCTCTAGGCAAGTATGCAGAGGATTTGTTTGGGGAGTTGTTCAATGAAGCACATTCGTTCTCCTTCCGGGTGAACTCCCTGCAGGAGCGCGTAGACCGCCTTTCCATCAGTGTCACCCAGTTGGACCCCAAGGAGGAGGAACGTAAGTGTTCTAAACAGCCCATTTAAGACTAGGACCAAGAAGTTGTGTCTTGCTGTTTCACGGATGCTCTGAATTGCATATTGCTGTTAATCCCAAAGGATTAGGACAAGGGGACCCACTTAGGTCCAGAAACTACCCCACAACACTACACAGCATATGGAGAAGTGAGAAGCTGGTTAAATTAAATTAAAGGGAGGCTTTAAGGAGGCCAGAATTCTTTATATCCAGAGTGGGATCAGCCAGGATGTCGGGATTAATGCCCCCACTCTTAATAAGAGTGGAACGTGATCTTTGATATATCTAGCTGGAATATCATGTCCCATCCTGCACACTAGTGGTCAAGTCCAATTTCTGCTCAGACTGCGACACTTAAAATTCCCCATCACTTGGTCTTTTGAGCACAAGAATTAGTGTTCTATATGGCCTTGCGTCAAGGTGATCTACACACAAGTTAAATCGCCTCAATCTCATGCTCCCAGTCAGTTTGCTAAGAAGGTGTCGTTCATGTGTGCCGTGGTCAGTAATTATCGATCAAAAAGACACAAATCAATCAATGTCCAAAATTTGAGTTCTTTTATTATTTTAAAATTATCCATGCACAGAGTAACTCCTTTGATGTTCACCACTTTAAAATAGTAGTCGTTTCTCACAAACCATGTTTTAATAAAGGCATTTTTGGAAAAGTTGTGCGAAAGGAAAGGGGGTCGAAATGGTCATACACTATTCTAAACATCTTTTAAGATCTGTAGCATTTTCCAGTTGAAAAATAACAGACTTCTTGTCTTTTCCAGTGAGAATATTGCATTTTTTATATATTTTAATAACTCCTCTGGAAGAGTAATTACAGATAAGTGGTTAGTAGAACAGCTTTTGACAGTGGTGTGTTGTTCCCATGGCAGCGATGAGACCGTGGTTAGAGTTCTGGACTCAAAACTGGAAAGTTAGGTGTTCAAATCCCAAGTGAGACACTGCTGTAGTTCCCTTGATCAAGGTACTTCACCTGATTTCTTCTGGTAAAATACCCAGTTGTATAAATGGGTGCAAATGTAAGTTACTTTGGTTAAAAGCATCTCCCAAATAAACTAGTTTATGTTTATCCGAGTTTTCATGTTGTCCGTGTAAACGTCGTGGGCAGTATCAGCCTGTGCATGCAGTTTTCATAAGGGCGCTATGAGAGTATCTTGAAAAGCAGCTCCTGCTGCAGCAGGTAGTTGTGGCGAGGTGTCCGTTGTTTGTCATCAGGTAACGTACCATGTGGCCATGCTGTGTTGAATTACAATTTAACGTGAAGCTTGTTTCTTGTTTTCATTTCTAAGTATTTGTGATTTTACCTTGTTCTTTTTTGTATGATGTGACGTAATGGACTTGTTTAAACTGATGGGCATAAAGTTTTTTTATTTGGGGTCATATTACATTATCATGCTTGGGTTCTGATCAAGTAATTTACACAAGCAAAAAAGTCTGTAACGCTTTTCTTTAAATAAGAGATTTTACATTACCCGGTTCAGTTGCCATGGCAACAATCTGGTAATACTAGTGAGAGGAACACACTAGGCTACCCAGGTATTTTTGGAAGAAGCTATCCATCTATTTTTAAAACTGTTTCTGCTTTTTGAAAAATAGAATAAATAGGGTGGCTTTTTTTGGGTGATGTTGATGTGCTTTGTGAGCAGGTTTGGGGACAACATACATCCTTATGAGATATTAAGCTTATGGTTCTTTTCTTTTAGGATTTTAAAATTCAAGTTATGGAATGAAAATTGGGTAGAAAATGCAAATCACTCCTGGTAGAATTCCATATGGTTTTACCAGCTGTCCATGAAAGTCATGGATCTTGATATCTTACACCCGGTTATTTTGCAGTGCATGTAAAGCAAGCTCATTAGCAGTCCACCTTGGGCAGTGCACTATACTTGTGTGCACCACAAGTTCTCAGCTTTGACAATGCACATAAATTTAGCTTGTAGGATGATAAACGTAGTTCATATTTAAGCATGGCGTGACTAACGTGATTTATCGCCAAAGAGGACATAGGCATGGAAGCATTGTTCTCTTGATAAGTGGGACATCACTTACATCCTCTTCATCCCAATCAGCTCTCGCTGAGGAAGCGATTTACTGGTTAGGCATCACAGCCTAACAAGTGTCACAAGTGATCAATTAAACCAAACACTTAATCAATTTTCCAGTTCTATATAAGGTGTTTTTCTAAAAACCTGCATGGAATGAAGTTTAATTCAGACTGTAAATGCCTCTTTGAAAAATATATGATTTGAAACCGAGGCAGGTGAAATTTTGCACTTGCCATTTAAGCCCTTTGTTTTAAGCAGTACTGGTTGACATCAAACAATTGTAAAAGAGAACTTTACAATTATGTATTGCTTTTAAATGATTCTCCTTATTGCCCCCCAATTAAAAAGACACCACTTTAAAATCATTCAGATACTCAACCAACCAACGTTTAGTTTGGAAACTTCAAAAGCAAATCCCAGAACCCTTAGAGTCCAGGAGTGCCTCCTGTTGTCAGTTTTAAATGAACTTCCATGAAGCTTCCGTTTGTGTCCTCTGGTTCATATTTTACAGTTTATTTTGAAGACCCCCACTGGGATTTTGTCAGTGCCTTTGAGTATTTTGAATACTTGAATTGGGTGCCTTTACCCTCTGTTCAAGAGCAAAAGCGTACAATTCCTTCAGCCTGTCTTTGTAGGACACTCCCTTAAACCCCAGTGTGTATCTCTGAAATATTCTAAATGCATATTCAAGTTGAAAAAAAAAAACCTTTCCCAAGAAATAAACATGGCTTTGTTCTTTCTAATATTTCTGATAGTTCACTGTTACTTTTGCACGCAAGTTTCTAGGCTTGTGGGAATGGTGTTAATTTAATTATTGCTTGGAATGTGATCTTCAACAAACTGCCATTTTGTTTGACACCAAAAAATATTTCACTGCTAAAAGAAAGTGAGGAGTTAATGGGAGACAGCACTTAAGTTTTGTTCACAGCAATAATATTCAGGATAGGGAGTTTTTTTTCTAAATACACCTACCTCTTACTATATGAGCAGTGAATTTACAATTTCTTTGACAACAAAGCAAGTATTTTAATCCTAGCTTTACACTACAAAGCCACTTTTGCTAAGTGAAGGATCTTCTGTTTGGATCTTGTTTAGCGAGTTTAATATCCGCCTTATGTTTGACATGACGACAGGAAAACATGATGTGGCACTGCTTTAGGTATAACAAAACTAAAGAACATTAGGCAAGCATTCCACTTGTCGGTGAAACATGAAATAGGGTTGAAAAGATACGGTCAAGACATTTGCATTGCATTAACCTTGTGCATGCTCAACCGAATTGTTGCATTTGTCTGATCTGCGCAAGCACAAGAGTGTGGGAATTGTCATTAAATATTCAGTGCGTTTGCTTGTATTTTCTACATTTAGATTGCAGTGAAAGATGAAAAATCTTATGGTGCCACAAAAGTCACAATATCAATGTTGTATTAACATTCTTGAAACTCCTGTATTTTTAATGATGCTCTACACCTTGTGGTGAAAGTGTCTAGTTCTTCAGACCACTACTTTGAGGTGAGAGTCCTCCAGGAGCTGTGATTTGGAGTACTTATTCCTTGAACAAACTTGATCTTGTTTTAGAATAAGCATCTCTGATCACTGCTAACATCACCTTTTATTTTAGATTTTCCAATCTACAATACCCTTCAAGTAAAAACAAGAAGAGTGCTTACACATTTCAATCTTATGGTAACATTCGCTGTATTTCTAAACTGGCCTGAGAAGAAGGCAGATCTCAGACTCCTTTTCAATTCCAGAAACACCATCTCACACCTATAAAATGTAATGGAGTCTTTGTTCCCGAGATTAATGTGGGTAGAGGCCAGAAGGCAGGGAGTGTGTGATTGCAGGCTCTATGAGGTTTTTGTTTTGAGGGTCTGAACAGTCAATTACTTGATCGGTCATGGAGAGGCTGAAAAGGGAGGATTGGGCAAAGACGGGCTTTATTGCTCAAGCAGTAATTTTTCGAAGTATCGGGCGACGTTGATGAATTGGTGTGATCAATCGAATCCTTTTGATTCTATCATTTTACATTTATATATTCATAAGCCCTGACCTGTGTCCAAGGGACATGTCCTTGAAAAGCTTTTTGCTTGTTCATTGCAGAAGCTACTATAATGATGTCCTTCAGGCTTTTAACATTTCTTTGCAGAGCCCGATTGATAGCTTTTTCTTTTAACCTAGCCGAATACCATTTTAGCTCTGTCAAGATATAATATTCTTCCCAACAAAACTAATGGCCCATATCCTATATTTAATGACCATATTATATCACTTAAATGTCCTGTTATAATAATGATTGTAGACTTTGCCAGCCAAAAACCCAGCAGGCTTTATTTTTTTGACATTTTGAAAGGTTTTATGAAATGGCTTTTAATTTTCCGTTTAGCTGAAGATGGCTGTTATAAATTAATGCACATTGTTCTTAGTTTTACACTACTATTAACTTTTTACAACAAAAAATCCAATTAAAACTTCTTGGGGAAAAAATACTTCAGGAACATTTAGGAAATTATTTTTGGGCACCTTTTTTGCAGTTGGTAAAGGGATCCGCATTAAAGACTGAACCAGCAATAGTGAAATATAAAAAACACTCAGCTTTTTGTAAAGTACCCTGATAAACAGAAAATCAGTTTATTCTGAACTTTTATATTGTATACTCAAGTAAAATGTTTGACCTTGACAAAATCAATCTAAAACAGTCCCATCTAAAATACAGCATTGTGACTGATCATTGCACATTGGGTCATCCATAATGTCTTTTACTGGGCTCAAGGCCTTCATTTGGGGATTTGTACTTTAAAATGGGCAGTTATTTCTTGTTCTACCCACCTGATTGGGAGTAGCCCTTTGTGTGTGGCCCCTGTCTGGGCTCATAGCCACAAGCTGCAACACAATAAATGCAGGCTGGCTCTCCCACCTCAGTCATTT